TGACCAGGGATCATGGCCTGGATCAGAAGATTTTAAAAAGTTATAACTAGGCTAAGGGCGAGGGACCGGGCGCTTGCTGCAGCAGTGGCCATTCAGAAGCCCCGTGGCACTATTCCTGATGTTATAACTCGGCTAAGGGCGAGGGAGGGGACAGCTTGCTGCAGCAGTGACCATTCGGAAGCATAGCGTACTAGTTTTGATATGAAGGATGTGTCTCCCTGCATTTTGTTCACTATGGCCTTTAGAGGCTAGAAGCACAATCCAAGCCCCCCAACCCCCAAACACATAGACTTGTTTCTTTCTTTGACTCCATCCCATTATGTAACCCAGGCTGATCTCAAACTTGCTGTGTAGCCCAACTGGCTCTTGAATGAATGATCCTCATGCTTTTGCCTCCCAAGTGCTGGGATTACAGGCATGAACCACTGTACAAAGTTCTCTCCTGCCTTTTGTCTTCTTCATATTCTCTCATTTCCTCCTTTCCTTCCTTCTTTTCCTCTTTTATCAATTGTAGGGTAGTACAGGACTTACCATTTCAGCTATTCAGAAGGCTGAAACAGAAGGTCACGTGTTCAAGGCGAGCTGTGACACTAAGTAAATTCAAGGCCACCCAGGGCAACTTCGTGAGGCTGTCTCGAAATAAAAACATAAAAGGCCTGGGACTGTGTGTAGCTCAGTAGTGCTTAAGAGATGCGTGAGGCCCTAGCTTCAATTCTCTGTTTAAAAAAGAAACAAAGCAATGCTAGTGATTAGATTACATGTTCTGCCAGTGGACTATGCCTCTCCCCACTCCTTTCTCCCAAGTCTGTCTTCACTGAACTCACCTCTCTCCACTCCCTTCTCCCAAGTCTTCACTGAACTCAATATTTACTTAGATTTTTTTTTTTTTAACCTTCACTTTCAGATGTAGAAAGCCCAGCCAGGATAAAAAGATCTACAAAGACCATTAGCAAGTTGGTAGCAGAGTAGGGACCTCGTGTATTGGTGGCCTGAAGAAACTTCTGTGATCTTATCAGGAGTCCTGGGGCTAACTTGACCCAGGCTGCAGGAGGCCTGTCTGTGTTTCTGGATCAAGTCCCAAGTACCTGGCCTGTGAGTCAAGCCAAGAGTGTCAAGTAGAGTCCTGATAGTCCCTGAAAAGGCCTCAGGGCCTGCTGCTCCCTTAGGGCACCTTTTCTGCTTTCTCTGCTGTGGGGAGTTCTCAAGGCTCTCCTCAGGGCTTGTTTATTGTGCTTCCCAGTGTTTTTCCTTGTCCTAAGGTGTCTCGAAAGCAGACCCCTGGTTACTGCAGACATTGACACTTCCTTGGGACACAGTGTCCCAGCAAAGAATGGGTTGGCTCACAGGTACAGAAACAGGTGGCCTGGGAATTAACTGCTCCCTGGAGCGTGGATGTTTGTTAAAATAGATCAAACCTCCTAGATCAAAGACTGTGGCCTCTTCCTGAAGGCATTATGTAGACTAAAGGACAAATGGGTGAGGGCAAAGGGAAGTTCCCCTCTGTCTCCTGCTAATCAAAGGCTCATGAATGCTAATGCTTGCTTCTAAGATGAAATAGACAAAATTGATAGTACGTGAGCAGGAGGACAGGCTCAGTGAGGGACTGCATACAGATGTGCTCAGAGAACCAGTGGGGTCCAGTGGACAGGTAGGGACCCGACTGGGTCAGTGAGGGACTGCATACAGATGTGCTCAGAGAACCAGTGGGTTCCGGTGGACAGGCAGGGACCTGACTGGGTCAGTGAGAGACTGCATACAGATGTGCTCAGAGAACCAGTAGGGTCCAATGCACAGATAGGGACCCGAATGGCTCAGTGAGGGACTGCATATAGATGTGCTCGGAGATCCAGTGGGTTCCAGTGGTCAGGTAGGGACCAAGGGGCTTAAAGAAGCTGAGCTGGGGATGGAGTGCACTTAAGAGTGTTGTTAAGTATGCCCAAGGCCCTTGGTTCAATCCTCAACCCTGAATAAGCTGAGCATGGTGACATGCCTGTAATCCTAACTCTCCAGTGGAGGAGGCAGGAGAATGACTTTAAGGTCATCAAATGGCCTCTTGGTCAAGTGAGTGGTTTGTGTCTCCACTGGGGCTGAGTTCTCTTAGAGGGAAATGATTTTAAGTAATAAACCTATTAAGAGTATAAGAAATTTACTATTTTACTAGAAACAGCAGTTGGTACCCTGCCTAAGTTTGCTTTCACTGAGACCCTTCCCTGTTGTGGGGCTAAACAGCATGTGTCCCACCTGTACAAACTCTGCATCTGCAATTGTAAACACCTCTGAGAATTACCATCACTGTATTCCTGTCTGTCTCTATGGCTGATGGTTTGGTCTGGGCAAGAGGTTCATTACCCGAGGGTTGTGAGGAAGATAGCAGCGTAGGATGAGGGGACCTCATCCACCGAATTGCTCTTTTGAAGGCTCTTCCCACCCACTATTGTCACTTGCTCACAGCAGCTGTTTGTCAGTACTGGCTGTGGTGGGTTTGGTTGCCATGGTAACAGTCGGACAGGCTTGAATGGATTCAGGACAAAGGTTGAAGACGCAGGGCTCAGGTCCCGGATGTCCTTTTTCATTACAAGGCCTTTTTAGTTAGTTAGATGGGCATTCCTGTGTTGCCTAGGCTGTCCTCAAACTCTGTGCACAAAAGTGATTTTCCTGAGTAGTGGGGACTGCAGGTTATGTGCACTACACAGGTTAGGGTGTCCTATGAATGCTGTTTGCTGGACGGATGGATGGTTGAGCAGTGCTGCATCTGTGACCAAGTCAGGAAGGCCAGAGGCCAGGAGGGTTTCAGTGCACCAGGAGACCCTGTCCACACCCAGCTCTGTCAACAAGCTTTCTGGTTTGTAATTGGGGTCAGAGTCCGAACTCCTCACCTGCCTATGCCCCATTTGAAATACATAAGACTTGATCCTGTGAAAAAGCTAGGACTTGGACTTGTGAATTTACCTTTCCCAAAGGTTGGCTGTCAGGTTGCTTGGAGACAATTCTCTAGGTATTATGGCGCAATGGGAGGCACACCCATGGTTTCTGGTATTAATGGCAAGGTCGGAATCTTGGAAAACTTGTTAGAGTCAGTCTGTCCAAGAGCAGAAAAGACCTATCTCCACTGCTTGTCTTTTTGCTTGTTTAGTTTGTTTCCTTTTTCTTTTTTCTTTTTTGAGATGGTCTCATGTAACCCAGCCTAGCTTGAACTCACCATGTAACAGAGGTTGACGCCGAACTCTGATCCTGCTACCTCCATCTCCCAAGTACTGGGACTACAAGCATTTACCTGGCACCATGCTTGACTCCAGGCTGCCTGTCTTTAATGGGGCCTTCGTGCTCTGCGGTTAGAAGCATGGCTTTGAAGGAAAGGATACCTGTTATGAGACTGTGAAGTCAGGAGAGCAGTTTCTGCTTCTGTTGTTGCTGAAATTTATCATTCATTCATTCATTCTTTTTTTTTTTTTTTTTTTGGTTTTTCGAGACAGGGTTTCTCTGTGGTTTTGGAGCCTGTCCTGGAACTAGCTCTTGTAGACCAGGCTGGTCTCGAACTCACAGAGATCCGCCTGCCTCTGCCTCCCGAGTGCTGGGATTAAAGGCGTGCGCCACCACTGCCCGGCTCATTCATTCATTCTTCACAAGTATTCAGTAAGCACCCAGGCAACACATTGGACGCTGCTTCCCTGCCATTTAACATCAAAGACTTCTCTGCTGGGTTAGGGGCTGTATTCAGGGATGCACAGATGTTTGTAATCACAGGTTCCCTAGCCGAGGGCTGGACTGGCCTCTCCACTGCATACTTCAGTGAAGTAGACAGCTCAGTTCACAGCAGCACTGAGGTCTTGAGTTTGTGCCAAGTCTGGATGGGCGGTGCTAGAGAAGATCTTAATAATACTGGGTAATTACCAGGTGGAGCTTAACCATCTCAAATGCCCATCAGGTTCCCACATCGACAGCTATTCAGTTGTCGGCTGGTTCTGGCAGGGAGGAGGAGGGCTTTATGCTCACTGGGTCTTCGGCCAGCCCTGAATTTGTGGCCAGATTTCCCAGGAAGGATATCTTTTTTTTTTTTTTTTTGATTTTCGAGACAGGGTTTCTCTGTAGTTTTTGGTGCCTGTCCTGGAACTAGCTCTTGTAGACCAGGCTGGCCTCGAACTTTAATCCCGAGTGCTGGGATTAAAGGCGTGCGCCACCACCGCCCGGCCAAGGATATCTTTTTTTGTTAAAGTTTGGTGACAGGAGGAAGCAAGTTGGGTAATAGCCTGATCTCTCCAATTGACCTCTGCCCTCTACCCAGAGGCAAAAGGTAACAGTGCCTATATCTGCTCAGTTTCATCAAATAATGTGACCCAGGGCCCTGTCTTGAGAGCGAGGAGGAAAGAGGTGAAGTCTAGAATGAAGAATGGGGTGGAAATGTCCAAGAAGAGGAACAAGGCCGAAGGTCTGTCCTGCCTGCAGGCCTCTTCTCGCTCTCAGCGAGCCCTTCAGGGTTATTTCTATGCCCGAGGCTTCCAAATGACTATCTCCAAAACTTTCACTTCCTACAAAACCTTCCCCTTTTGACAGCTCAGGACCTTACACTAGACTCCTCAGGGCCTTGTAATCGGTTGTACTGTTCCACCTGTCAGTCAAGGTGGTCCTGACTTGCCCAGGTCTTTGTTCTTGCTGTACTGTGTTATTAGACGACTCTCCTCTGGGCGAATCCCTGTTTTGTTTTGGGGGTTAGCATTAATGTCATAATGTCCTTAGTAGAGTGAACCCTCTGGTCCTCCATTAGAGCAGGAATCAAGGTGAGGGGTCCTGTGTCACATCAGTGTCCCTGGCCCTCGGTTAAGCATAAATGAAAGGTCTTTGTGACCAGGCGAGACGCACCAACCCGCCTGCCTCGCGGCTGGGTCACTCTTTCCTCCTCTCCGGGGCCTCCCACACCTTGACCATGGACTGCTCCAAGAGCGGGCGGCCCAGCGGCGCACGCGTACTGTGTGCCAGCTCTCGGCGGGGACGCGCACGCCCGCGGCCGCGTGCGTCACAACCCGGGCGCCTGCCGCGCCCGTCCAGCTCGCCAGCCCGTCGGTCCCCGCGGCGGCGGCGGCGGCGGCGGCGGTGGCGGTGGCTGCGGCCGGGTGACAGCACCAGCGGCGCCAGGCTGGCTTGGTAGCAGAAGGGTCGCGCGGCCCGCACAACAAACGCAGACCCGGCCGAAACAAGGCGCGGCGCGAGGAAGGCCGAGGCGGGCCGCGCGGGAGACCGCGGGCGCCGAGTGACAGGCCGACGTGAGGGAGTGCGCAGGTTGCAGCCGCCGGCGGCCCCGACCCGCCAGTTCCCTCGGACGTCGCCGGCATGAGCCACATCCAGATCCCGCCGGGGCTCACGGAGCTGCTGCAGGGCTACACCGTGGAGGTGCTGCGGCAGCAGCCGCCCGACCTCGTCGACTTCGCGGTGGAGTACTTCACACGCCTGCGCGAGGCCCGCGCCCAGGATTCAGACACGCTCATCGCCACCCCGACGACCTTTCACGCGCAGGAGTCCAGCGCGGTCGCCTTCGTCGAAGAGGACGGGAAGAGTGACACCGACTCGGACGATCTGAACCTGGAAGGTAGGCGGGCGGGGCACGGCCGAGGTGCGAGGTGGGCACGGAGCGAAGGGTGTAGGGAGGGTCCCGCGGGCCGACCAGCGGGGCTGAGGGCCCGACGCCCGGCCTTGCCCTGGGCCGAGACCCGAGAGCTCTCCAGCCGAGCTGCTTGGGTTTCCCCGCGTGTGCCGATTCCAAATTGAGCTCCGCGGTTCTCCGAGCCGGAGCGTTCACAGAGAGTGATTTGTCAGATTCAGCCTTGAATGAAGCGTGCGCGTTCTTTGGTCCGCGTGGTGGCGCGGAGCTTAAGTCGGTCCCGCCAGAAGCTGCTTTGCCTTTGCTTTAGGTCCCATAGCCTGCTTCCTATCCGAAGGCTACCGCATCCGCACTCGGCAGCTCGTCCTGAATAAGAGGATGGTAACTTGATTTGCAGATTTCGGTCCTGGAAGAATTACGGCTGAAAACTATTTTTTTTTTTTTGAGACTAGGTCATTAGACTGGATTAAACAGGAACTCATTAGGTAGCTCAAGCTGCCCTTGAACTTGTAAAGAACTTCCTGCCTTTGCCTCAATGAAAACCTTTCAAGTAAAAAAGAAAGATGAACTGAACCACCCCTTGAATGCTGTCACTCACATTCAACAGTTGAACCTCCTCCCCCAATGCTGATACAATTCAACAGTTATCAATGTTTTTCCCCTTTTCCTCTTTCCCTTTGCTTAAGTTGTTAAAGGAAATTTCAGTTAGGTCATTCCATCCCTCATCGGTTCGTTATGTATTTATTTTTCTTAAAATATAATCGCTTAAAAATGTAGAGATTTAGATTTTAAAATTTCACTATGGGTTAAAACAATTGAATTAAATGGGTGAACATAATCAATACTTAATGTTGGCTGCAGGAAACTATACAAGTAGCATTCTGTTCATTTAGTTTAAGTAAGGATGTCAAGGGCAATTTCATTTTCTTGGTTGCTTCCACTAATGCTTTACTAACTTAATAGAGTTAACTTGCTTTTTAATTTTTTTATTTTAATTACTCTTTTTTTATATATATACAGGGCTCACTATGTAGCCTTGGATGTCTGCAACTAATTATGTATACCAAGTTGGCTTTTACCTCATGAAATCTGCCTGCCTGTGCCTCCTGAGTAGTGCTGGGATTAAAAATGTGCATCTCAGCCAGGCGGTGGTGGCGCACGCCTTTACTGTCAGCACTTGGGAGACAGAGGCAGGCGGATTTCTGGGAGTTTGAGGCCAGCCTGGTCTACAAGAGCTAGTTCCAGGACAGGGTCCAAAGCTACAGAGAAAACCTGTCACTAAAACAAAACAGAAAACCCAAAAAGAAAAAAAATGAGCATCACAATGGTCAGCACCTGCAGGTTTCTTTTGATTGTGTATTAGTATGTGTACCACATGTGTATAGCTGCTGTATTTGGGTGCTCTCAGAGGTCAGAGTACATCAGATCCCCTGGAGCTGGAGTTACAGGCAGTTGTGAGCTGTCTGGTGTGGATGAACAAATACACTCAGGTCCTCTGCAAGAGGAGCAAGCACCCTTGACTACCAAGACAGGTTCCCAACCACTTGCCTCCTTTTGAACAAAACAAACACGTTGAGAGACTGTCTTGATCTTGAATTTTTTTTTTTTTTTTAAATATTTATTTATTTATTTATTAAGTATACAATATTCTGTCTGTGTGTATGTCTGCAGGCCAGAAGAGGGCACCAGACCTCCTTACAGATGGTTGTGAGCCACCATGTGGTTGCCGGGAATTGAACTCAGGACCTTTGGAAGAGCAGGCAATGCTCTTAACCACTGAGCCATCTCTCCAGCCCTTGAATTTTTTTTTTAAAGATTTATTTATTTATTATGTATACAACATTCCTGCAATGTATGTTTGTATGCCAGAAGAGGGCACCAGATCTCATTATAGATGGTTGTGAGCCACCATGTGGTTGCTGGGAATTGAACTCAGGACCTCTGGAAGAGCAATCAGTGCTCTTAACCTCTGAGCCATCTCTCCAGCCCCCTTGATCTTAATTGTTAAATCACATTAGAAAATACAAACTAACTGGGTGGTGATGGCATACACCTTTAATCCCAGCAGGCAGAGGTAGGCAGAGCTCTGCGTTCTAGGACAGCCAGGGCTATTGAGAGAAGCCCTGTGGGGGGCGGGGGGGAGAAAAAAAAGAAAATTTCTAACTAGTTTTGAGTGGTCTAGCTAAATGTTCAAGTAACAAAGGGTAGGGAAATGGTCATTGCTGTAGGAGCTATGCAGAGAATCAACAGCTTCATGAATTAAACAAATGCAACAAAAGTAGCACTTCTTTACATTGTTAAACAAATGATACAGAGCATAAACAAAAGTAACACATCTTTACATTGTTAAACAAATGATACAGAACATAAACAAAAGTAACACACCTTAAAATAATATTCCACAACAGGTGAACCTCCCTCCTTGATTGTCCATATGCTTGATCTCCGCATACTGTGCCACATTGTATGATGGGTGGGTCACTTAGGTGTTTCTGTTTTGTAAGTAGATTGAATGTGGCTGCTCTAAACTCTGGGCAGGTTTACCTTGTGGCTGGATAGTTTCATGTCTTTTTTTTTTTTAAATATTTATTTATTATGTATACAATATTCTGTGTGTATGCTTGCAGGCCAGAAGAGGGCACCAGACCTCATTACAGATGGTTGTGAGCCACCATGTGGTTGCTGGGAATTGAACTCAGGACCTTTGGAAGAGCAGGCAATGCTCTTAACCACTGAGCCATCTCTCCAGCCCTAGTTTCATGTCTTTTGAGTGTATAACCAGAAATACCAAGCCCTTTCTCCCTTTTTTCTTTCCAGATAGGGTTTGGCAACTGAGCTCAGACCTGAACTTTTGTCCTCCTGCCTCAGCCTACCCAGTGCTGAGATTGAAGACTTGTTCCACCACTCTAGGCCCAGGCTCCTTTTTTTTTTCTTTAAGCAAGTTATAGGGAATAAATTTAATTAATTAATTTTGGTGTTTTTTTTTTTTTTTTTTTTTTTTTTGAGACATGGTTTCTCTGTGTAGCTTTGGAGGCTGTCCTAGATCTTATTTTGTAGATCAGGCTGGCCTTGAACTCAGAGATACACCTGCCTCTGCCTCCTGAGTGTTGGGATTAAAGGCATTTGCCACATCCACCTGCCCTGGAAATAGATTTATTAAGGAAAAATGAAAAAGAACTCCTTTGAATGGAAAAGACAAGACTTCAGGGAGGAAATAACCCCAAACTATTTTTTTTCTTTTTCTTTTTTTTTTCCTGCTGAGATAGGTCTCACTGTGTAGCCTTGGCTGGCCTGGAGCATGCTATGTAGACCAGGCTGTCCGTGAACTCACTGAGGTATTTAATTTTGGGGTTAAAAGCCAGGCATGGTGACACATGCCTTATAGTACTAGCACAAGCAGAGGCAGGTGGATCTTGGTGAGTTTGAGGAAAGCCTGGTTTACAGAGTGAGTTCCAGGACAGCCTGGGCTAAGTAGAGACTGTCTCAAAAAGAACAACAACAGATTAAATTTTAAAAAAGATTAAATTTGGGGGTAATAGGAATTGTTTGAATACAGTGGTTATAGTCCTCTATCAGATGTATAATTTTATACACTTTCTCCTAGTCAGTGGGGCTATCTCCTCTTTAACGGTAGGGCTTAAACCCAAAATGTTGTAAGTGCCAGGCGCAGAGGCTGTAACACTGCAATGACTGCAGAGGCCAGGGGAGGCCTGTGGAAGCAGGTTCTCGCTTCCCTCAGGTGGTCAGCCTTGGCAGCAAGTGAGTTCCCCACTGAATGAACATTTTGATAGCTCTTATTCCGTTTACTTATTGTTGTTGTTTTTTTAGTGATTTATTTTTATTCTATGTTCATTGGTGTTTTGCCTGCATGTCTGTCTGTGAGGGTGAAATCCCCTGGAACTGGAGTTACAGACAGTTGTGAGCTGACATGTGGGTACTGGGAATTGAACATGGGTCTTCTGGAAGAGCAGCCAATGCTCTTAACTACTAAGCCGTCTCTCCAGCTCCCTCATTCATTTACTTTTAGTGTATGTATATATGTGTTCATGTGTGTGTGCGTGTGTATGCTATGGCTGGCCTGTGGAGGTCGGGACAACTTTTTGAAGTCAATTCTTTCTTCCCACCACATGGACCTAGTGGGTTGAGCTTGGGTCCTCAGGTTTGGTCAAAAGTGCAGAGAAGCCAACAATGATGATGAATACTTGTAATCCCAGCACTCAAGACAGGATTGTGAGTTTACTGTCAACCTGGCTACATAGGTAGACTCTTTAAAAAAAAAAAAAAAAAACTCAAGCAATAGGATATCCTTGGGTTTTTTGTTGTTGTTGTTGTTTTGTTTTGTTTTTATTTTTGTTTTTCAAGACGGGTTTTTCTGTTTCTCTGTAGCTTTGGAGCCTGTCCTGGAACTAGCTCTTGTAGACTAGGCTGGTCTCGAACTCAGAGATCTGTCTGCCTCTACTGGGATTAAAGTCATGTGCCACTACTGCTAGGCTTCCTCCTCCCTCATTTTGTTTTATTTTTGAGAGAGGGTCTCCTGTGAGCCCTGGCTGGCCTTGAATATGACCTTGAAGTTGGGACCCTCCTGCCTCTACTTCCTGAGTGTTTTGCTAATAGGTGTGATCCACTGCACCTGGTTTTCCACTTTTTTGTTAGTCTAGTGGATTTTGGGGGGGCAGATGATTGAGGCTTCAGGTTTGTTGACTCATGACCATTAATAAATACATGATTTGTCTTACTGTTTCCAAACCAAGTGTTTAATGCTTAGTGTCTCTGCTTACAAAACAGATATTACCTGCTTGGCAATGTTCCAAGGTTCTTGTGTTTAGAACTCCAGTTGATTCTGAGTTTGGTTAACTTCAGTGCACACGAGATTTTAAAATTGGCTTGTAGGCTGGATGTGGTAATGCACGCTTGTAATTGCGGCCTGTGGGAGGCAGAAACAAAGGTTTCATAAATTTGAGGACAGTTACGTCTACATAGCAAGTCTA